GGAAGAAGAAGAAGAAGAAGAAGAAGAAGAAGAAGAAGAAGAAGAAGAAGAAGAAGAAGAAGAAGAAGAAGAAGAAGAAGAAGAAGAAGAAGAAGAAGATGATGATTATGATGATGATGGTGAATACCTAACAATTCCTCCAACTGGCTTCCATTTCTCTGGCTCGTGTAAGCCGCCTCCAGGTACGAATGTTCCTGTGATCGAAGATAGGTGACAAGGGTCAGGGGTAATTAAGCCATATGTCATGTCGTTAAACAGTTTTTACTGTTCGCTTGAATGCACACCGTTTTGTTGGTAATGTACGATTCATATCCAGTAAGTGCGACTCCTTTTAACGTGTTGTGTGTGAACTCCTATCTTACATTTGGAATCCTATTGATAAAAGAATTATGTATTTCAATGAATTTAATCGAACTCAATCTGCGCTAGTAGTGTTTGCCATTCTTTTTTTTGGTTCCTAGCCAGATTTCTAAGTCAATGGGGTTCCCATTTTCTCTACGGTCTACCCATGCCTCTCTTGCCTCCATCCTTTCTGTTTGTTTCCAAATTTTTCTAGAGCGGTTTCTGGTCTTTAATATGCCCAAAGTAGTTCAGTTTCCGTATTTATAAGACTTCAATCACACACAGGTACTTAGTATGATATAACTCACCAAACAGCTGTGGTTCTAACGTAATCGAGGCTTGTGAACCTGTCCAGAATCATACTTAACCTCACCTATAACAACTAAATTGTTTAGTGAACTAAGGAGATGCGCATTATAACTGCTTTCACCTCCTCTGTGATAAGGCCTCCCCAGTCATCGGAGAAGGTGGAGGGGGTGGGGTGGGGTGGGGCTCATGCAACTTTCCAATCAACAGCACACAGTGACATCCGCATTGTAGAAAAATATGATGTTATCTATTTAAGGGGAGGAGGGGGGGGAGAGGGGCGGTCACTTTGCACAGACAATTAAGATAATATAATACAATAAGATACTTATCTTTATTGTCCAGATTCTAGCACATTGGTTTTGGTGTTTCACCACATACACACACACACACACACACACACACACACACACACACACGCACGCACACACACATACACACACAAACATGTACACGCATACGCACGCACATTTGCACACCCATATACACCCACACTCTTCTCTCAAACATTCTTTTTTCCACTCACATCTGTGCTCATAACCATGATAATACAATAGTATGCTTGCACTCACAAACAGGCTCACAGTCACATGTAAAATAAAAACGAACATTATTAACATTGATAGTGTTAAGGTAGATACATACTCAGTATTCTGATTGTAACTCTATGGTATTCTGATGCATGTTTTAAAACTGGAATACTTATAACAAGACGATTAAGATGTTAGAAATTTAATAGATGATGATAAGAGTGACCCTCTCGTGTTTTTTTGTTTGTTTTTGTTATCGTAAGTGTGTTTTACGGCACTTGCAAAACAAAAAGGTCATATTATAAGTGCCGGAGATTAGAGGTGTTACAAGAGACTAATAAACACAAAATAGAAGGAGATGAGACAAGGACGATAGATATTTGATGGGAAAGAAGAAGCAAACC